CACATATGTAGCTGTAGGCTATACTGGAGTCTAACATAGAGGGGATAGCCAAGTAGGGTTTCATATTTGTATCTCTTTTGTTCCTAGTCAGATAACTCCTGCCTCATGATCCGACATGGGTTCAGAGCACGTAGGTCCATATGACCGAATAGTTTTTTTACGGCCCACCGTTTGTTATACCCTGCCCGTTTTCTTGCCCTGCCCCTAATGATCGCGACCCGGAGATATGATAATACATGCCTTCACCCTCAATGCTAGAGTGCCCTGCCCCACGCGTTTGCACCTGCCCTGGCTTGTGCGCTGCCCTAGGCGCTACCCGAGCGCGCAGCTGCCCACGCTGCCTGCGACCTGCCCACGCACCCTGCAACCCGCGTGCGCCCTGCAGCCCCTGTGCACCCTGCTGCTCTGCGCCCCCGTGCGCTCTGCTGCCTGTGCCCGCGCCCTGCTGCCCGCCCACTGCCTTGCCCGCGCTGCCCTGGCCTGCGCGCCTGCGCAGCCCACGCCCTGCGCACCTGCGCTGCCCGCGTCCCACGTGGCTCTACTGCCCTGCGCCCCACGTGCGCCCTGCAGGCTCTTTCCTTGCAGCCCGCACGCCCTGTAGCCCGCACGCCCTGCTGCCCGCGTCGCCAGCGCGGCCAGCGCGCCCTGCTGCCAGCGTCGCCAGCGCGCCCTGCTGCCGCATCGCCAGCGCGCCCTGCGGGCCCTGCTGCCCGCGTCACCAGCGCGCCTTGCTGCCTGCGTCGCCAGCGCGCCTTGCTGCCTGCGTCGCCAGCGTGCCCTGCTGCTCTGCGCCCCGCGTGCGCCCTGCTGCCCATGCGCCCCACGTGCGCCCTTGCTGCCCATGCGCCCTGCGTGCCGTGCTGCCCGCACGTGCTCTGCTGTCCACGGACCCTACTGCCCAACACACGTGCCCAGCCACTGACTCTACTGCTGTTGCAGCCACTGCACCTGCCACTATAGTCCCTGCTACTACCGCTACAGCCCTTGCTATCGCCTTTACAGCCCTGCTACTGCCGTTTCAGCCCTACTGCCACCACTACAGCCCTTGCTATTGCCGCTACAGCCACTACTAACGCCGCTACAGCCCTGCTACTGCCATTTCAGCCCTACCGCCGCCACAACAGCCCTTGCTATCGCCGCTACAGCCCCTGCTAACGCCGCTACAGCCCTGCTACTGTTGTTTCAGCCCTGCTGCCACCACTACAGCCCCTGCTATCGCCGCTACCGCTCCTATTGTCGCCGCTACAGCCCAACGTGTGCTCTAACAGTTGCCACAGTCGCAACACCTCCCACTACAACTACTATCGCTACGACAACCACCGCTGCCCCTGTGTCGCTGCTGCTAATTGCGTTGCCCGTCATGGCCACGCTTGTAGGTACCTGTACGTCTGCTTCTATAGATGGTGCCGCTGGTGGAGGGGGAGGTTCTGGAGGTGGACAGCAGCGGCAGCAGCGTCAGCGGGGAACTCTCTCCCCGAAAAAACTTCGTGAGTGGGATATTCGGCGAGGCCGCTCTGGTTGGGGTACTTGTGCTGGAGATACTAGACAGCAGCGGTAGGCTCGTCGACAGGAGACTCTCTTGCCGTAGCAGCTTCGTGAGTAGGTTGTATGGCGAGGCCGCTCTGGTTGGGGTGGGGAACTGGTACTGGAGGAACATGAGGTACTGGACAGCAACGACAGTCTCGTCGACATGAGACTCTCTTACCGCAGCAGCTTCGGGAGTGGGTTTCCCAGCGATGCGTCCCTGGTGGTTTAAAGCTACTAGTCTAGGTGCCGTTGAGCCTGCTAGCACAGGTGCAGCCCCTGAGGAGGCTCTGCACACCTTCATGCTTGACTCAGGCACGTCTCGCTGCTTCTTCCGCGACTGCAACACAGTTACACCGCTCACTACACCTGGCCTGGTCACTCTGGCTGACCCCTCTGGGGGCCCATTAGTAGCACGAGCCTCCACCGTTCTCCCGTGTCCCGCCGCCCCTTCTGGCTCGCTTGCAGGTCTCCACCTCCCCTCGTTCATTACGAACTTGGTGATAATCCCTGTTCTCGAGGACCAGTTTGTCACCGTGAATACTCTTAGGGGATGAGATTGTAGCGATCTGTACGGACTCATGAACTGGCGCCCACCTCACCACATTCACTCGGAGACCCGGGTCTGGCCTGTACACACTGACCACTGAGTCTGTGCAGGTAGCTGTGTCGGGTCAGTTCGCTGCGTCTTGCTCGTGTCGAGTTCTTACGCACCAGAATCTCCTCTGGCACCACCGTCTTGGTCACCCTCCCTGCCGCGTTTGTGTAGCATGCAATCCCGTCTCCTTGACTCTGGCCTCCCCAGGTCCCTGCCACCGCTTCCGCGCTCACCTGCACCGCCGTGCCTTCCCTGCATTGAGGGGCAACAGCGCGCTACTTCTCACTCCTCGTTTCCTCCGACGAAGGCTCCTCGGCAGACTCTCCACGTGGACGTGTGGAGCTCAGCCCGCATCAGTGGACTGGACCGCGAGCGCTACTTTCTGCTGGTTGTCGACGACTACATGCGCTACACTATGGTCTTCCCCTTGCAAAACAAGGCGGATGTTCCTAGTGTCCAGGTCCCTAGTGTCGACGATTCTCCAGGTTCTTAGTATTCCGTCTTCCACTAGCCTTACCCAAGCACAAGGTCAACCCCGTGATTCAGCCAACCCTGTGGTGCCCATGCAACCTACTCTTGGACCTTCAAGGGATGAACCAAGAGTGTTTGGGCTTGATAAGTTCAACGCGACAACTTTGCTGAATGGTCCTTCAGAATAGAGAACGTTTTTTACCACTACGACCTGCGGGAGGTGATGGAAGGAACGGAGAAGTGTCCCGAGAACGACCTGGAGAAGAGCCCGTGGGTGCGGAAAAGCGCACAAGGCTACCTCCTACCTGGGCAAGCGTTGAGGAGCAGTCAAATCAAGCCTTTCCAGTGTGAACCAGAGAAGGGACCAAAGGCATGGGCTTTTCTGAAGGGTGTACACGCTCCTGCAACAGCGGCGGTAGCTGTAGTGTTGGAACGGCAAATGGCGACACTACGAAATGAAGAAGATGAACCCTTGGAAGAAGGGGTGCCGAAATCCTTCGACTTGTTGACGCAGCTTGAAGGAGCGGATCTGAACTACAGTGAGCTCCAAAAGAAGACCAAGTTGCTGGCCCTACTCCCCGAGTCATGGTCCTCGCTCATCATCAACTTGAATCGCGACTTGCCCTGCCTCTCGCTTGAAGACGTGAAGCGAGCTATCCTTCAAGAGGACTTCCGCCGCCGTGAGTTGGCAAGTGCGGATGGCGCTGGGCAGCAAGCGTCGGCCGTGGATATGTCCGAGGAAGAAGCAGAGGACGAGGGGGAGGAAGGTTTGGAGGCAGCAACTTCAGTGGAGGCCGCGGAGGTGGCGGATACGGCAGCGTTAACAAGAGCTATGGACGCGGTTGCGGTCGGTTTGATGGCGAGTGCCATTATTGTCATAAGAGCAAACACATGTGGTGCGATTGCTACAAACTCCCTGAAGGTTAGACCGCTGCTCAAGGCCAAGAGGGTAGATGAGCAGGAGGAGGGAGAGAAAAAGGTCGTGGAGGCCGTGGCGGTCGCGGAGGTGGAGCTGCAAATATGAAGAACGAAGATAACGACAAGGACTCGAGGGACCATCGGTACCCGGGTCAATTCTACTTCGTGTCGACGCAAGTACCGGCTGGTCCAGAGAAGGACGAAGGCTTTGAGGAGCCTGCTCCTGTGGGGAAGGTGACCGTACACCCCTTGGACTATTGGGTGATCGATAGCGACGCTACCTATACCATGACTCCTCGCACGGACTTGCTCACCGAACTTGAACCGTCACTGGTGAAGCATGTCACATCGGCTTTGGGGCAGCAAGCAGAGGTGAAAGGCATGGGCAAGGTCAAGTTCAAGGGTGCTGATGGGAAGATGGTGGACCTCAAGAAGGTGCTTTGGGTGCACAGCCTTGATGCGAACCTGATTTCCGTGCGGCGATTGGCAAAGACCGGCATGGACACGAACTCGAAGGGTGCCAAGACCTACACCGCAAGGATTGACGGCCGGATTCTTTAGGACCTTCACGAGAATTGGGATGTCTACAATGAAACGTGGCAGATCCCTGTGGTCCCTATGCCTAAGGAGAGGCAAGTGGCAGCAAGCGTCAGAACCAAAGGTGAAGTGGTTGGTAGCGGCGATGGCGCGAACGGTCGCGCTAAGGAGAATGAGCGCAAGAAGAGCAAACTTGGAGGGACCAGCAAGCTCGGTGAACCTAACGAAAGTGGTGTATCAGCCAAGGAGCAGCACAAGGGTGAGGAGAACCCCAAGGCAGCAGCGGAGGAGGTCTACAGAGAGAGTATATGGGGCGCTATTGCGAGCGCGGCATTCTCCAATCCAACTTCGGCTACGGGGGAGTGTGATTGGACCACCTTGCTTCGGCGAATAAGGCATGTGGCCCTGCCTACTTTGCAGCAACTAGTGAAACATGAGATGGTCGCTGGCATACGTGTGAAGGGCGAGCCCGATGAGGTACTTGCCTGCCCGACGTGCATGCAAGCCAAGTTCACCCGTTTCCCGTTCTCTAGTTCGGAGGCAACGACAAAGGCACCACTTGATGAGGTGGTGATGGACGCGGTGGGACCCCTGATACTTGGAGCTGCTGGAGTTGAGTACTTCCTCACCATTGTCGATGTCTACACCCGCATGACCTGGGTGTATATGCTGGCCAAGAAGAGCGACGTGGCTGAAACGTTGAAGACCGGTTGGTTCCCGATGGTGGAGCGGCAACAAGACCGACTAGTGAAGTCGACCCACACTGATCGTGGGGGAGAGTTCCTAAGCAAGAAGTTTGGATTGTGGCTGAAGAAGAACGGCAAAAGGCACTCCCTAATTATGCCATACTCCCCTGCAATGAACTGCATCGCCGAGCGTGCGAACCGGACTATCACGGAGACGGCACGCGGGTTGCTCATTGAAGCTGGGCTACCCGATTACTTTTGGCCTGATGCGGTACGGAGCGTGTGTGTGGCCAAGAACAGGGTTTTGACTCATGTGGGAGCAGACAAATGGGTGCCCTATGTGGAGTGGCTTGGAAGGAAGCCAAAGATGGATATGCTTCGGGTGTTCGGGTGCATGTGCATGGCGCTCGTACCTATGCATCTTCGGCACAACAAGCTTGGTGCCAAGGCGATATGGGCTGTGCATTTGGGCATGGCTCAAAACAGCAAGGTATGGCTTCTTTGGGACACATTCACAAAAAAAAATCTTGGTGATCAGGGACAGCAAGTTCATGGAGAACTTTATGTACAAGGATTGGAAGGCGGAGAATGAGGCAAAGATAGGCGTGCGGTTTGGGGAGGTGAAGAGTTCCGGTTTGGAGCATGTGGAGCTGCCTTTGGAGCTGAGCAGTGGTAGCACCACCACAAGGCAATCTTCCCTTGTAAATGGGGGAGAGGAGGTCAAGGATGCAGAGGAAGAAGAGGAGGAGGTGCAGCAAGTGAGCGAGCATGAACCGACACTTCCTTCCCGCACAATGTGCCTAAAACGAAAGATAGAGTGCACAATCGGATTTCTGCACAGCGGCCTTAAATATTCATAGCGATCTGGTCACAGCTTCAAATGACCCGATTCAACTTGGACCTGGAGCGTCTTAAAGCAACAGTATACTTTTGCAAGCAGGGGTTTCAAAAACCTTAGGAACTTGAAAAACTGGTTACGCAATTACAACCTTAACCACCCGTTTTACAGGCGAAGCGAGTCCCCAAACGCCCCACGTCCGGCTCCCCGCACTCACACTTTAAAACCTGAGGAATTGCAAAAGGAAACTGAAACTGCAGTAGTGAAAGTATTGCCCGCACGCTCCTACTTCGGTAGGTTATTCCCCGTAGACTACGCAACGTTCTAACCTAACCGCTGGATTTAGGGACAGAATTCGTTATTGAACCGCGTAACGCTGTTCAAGCCCATGCGCGGACAAATTGCCCATTCGTACGCACTCGCTTAGGCCACGCCACCTTAGACAAGGCCGTCCCACGCCTCCTCTCGCTGCCTCACCGCGAGGCCATTAGCGACAGCGCCTCCCCTCCCCACAAAGTCCCGTTTAGCCTCGACGCGCTAGCATCTGCCATCCCATCCCGTTTTCCCGAAATCCCCTTTTCGCAACCTCTCGCCTTACCCATTCCTGCTCGCCTCCCGGTTCGAGTTCTCCTTTCGCCACCCCGCGCGTGCTCCTCTCGCTTTCCCCGTGCGGCCTCCTCACGCCTCCCCGCGCGCTCGACTCTCGCCTCCCCGCGCGGCCTCCTCTCTTCTCCACGCGCGGCCTCCTCTCGCCTCGCCGCGCGCTCTCCTCTCGCCTCCCCGCGCCTGCTCCTTTCGCCTCCCCGCGCTCTCCTCTCGCCTCCCTGCGCGTGCGACTCTCGACTCCCCGCGCGGCCTCCTCTCTTCTCCACGCGCGGCCTCCTCTCGCCTTGCCGCGCGCTCTCCTCTCGCCTCCCCGCGCCTGCTCCTTTCGCCTCCCCGCGCTCTCCTCTCGCCTCCCTGCGCGTGCGACTCTCGACTCCCCGCGCGGCCTCCTCTCTTCTCCACGCGCGGCCTCCTCTCGCCTTGCCGCGCGCTCTCCTCTCGCCTCCCCGCACCTGCTCCTTTCGCCTCCCCGCGCTCTCCTCTCGCCTCCCTGCGCGTGCGACTCTCGCCTCCCCGCGCGGCCTCCTCCCGCCTCCACGCGTGTCCTCCTCTCGCCTTCCCGCGCATGCGCATCTAGCCTGCGTCGTCGGCTTCACCCTGCCTCCCCTCGCTGCCACTCCGCGTCTCGCGGCGGCCTCCTTTCGCGAGGTGCACTCGAAAGGCCCTCGGCCCTCTCTCACTCTCTTGCAACGGCTGTGCTTCCGTATCCCTGCTGCACGCCCTCAAAACCCCCCCCTGAACGCCCTCACTTCCTCACATGTACGCCCTCGTTTGCCCTCCCTGCTTGCCCTCGTTTTCCCACCTTGCACGCTCTCGGTTTCTCCCTTGTACGCCTTATTTTCCCCCTTGCACAATCGCAATTCCCCCCCTGCTTGCCCTCAATTCTCCCCTGCTTGCCCTCAATTGTCCCCTGCTTGCCCTCATCTCCCCTTCTCCTCCCACCATACCTTCTCCTCCTCCCACCATGCCTTCTCCCCCTCCCGCCACCCCCTCTCCCTCTCACCATGCCTTCTCCTCCTCTCGCCATGCCTTCCCCTCCTCTCGCCATGCCTTCTCCTCCTCTCACCATGCCTTCTCCTCCTCCCGCCACCCCCTCTCCCTCCCCTCGCCATGCCTTCTCCTCCTCCCACCACCCCCTCTCCTCCTCCCACCATGCCTTCTCCCCCTCCCACCATGCCTTCTCCCCCTCCCGCCATGCCTTATCCTCCTCCCGCCATGCCTTCTTCTCCCTTCCTGCCTTCCCATTTCCCCTTCCCGCCACCCCATTTCCCCTTCCCGCCACCCCATTTCCCCTTCTCGCCACCCCATTTCCCCTTCTCGCCACCCCATTTCCCCTTCCCGCCACCCCATTTCCCCTTCCCGCCTCCCCATCTCTGCCTCCCTGTCTCCCCACCTCTCGTTCATACCTCCCATCTCCTGTGCCTACCTCCCCTTCCATCCAATCTCGCATCTTCCTCACTCACCAGGAAGTTTGTGCGAGTGAGGGTTAGCAGCGGAAAGCGCCAGCAAAGCAGTTGCGTTCCAGCCCCATGCAGTCCTCCCCATCTCCACCCTCTCTGCATGACTTTTCCTTCCCGCCCTTCTCTGATTGCCCACCGATTCCTGTCATTCACTCCCTGTCCTTCCCTTTATGCCCCTCCCTTTCTGCCACTGTCTTCTTGCCTTTCCCCTCTCTTGGTGCCGTTTCCATCCTGCATACCCCCGTTTCCCCCATGTTTGCCCTCGTTACCCCCCCTATATACCCTCATTATCCCTTTTGCTTCCACTCATTATTCCCATAGCATGCTCTCATTATCTACTCTGGTTGCCCCCATTTTCCCCCCTGCATGCCCCCATCATCCCCCCTTTCTGCAATTTCCAGCCCACCCTCCCCTTCCTGTCTTTTCCTACCTGCCCCCTCCGTCCGTTCCCTTGCAGAGGCGACGTGAGGAGAGGCGACGTCAATCTCCCTTTCCTGCCTCCCCATAAGAGCTCCCTCCCTCCCCACCTCCCCTACTTCCGCAACTCCCTCTGCCTTCCGTATGTCTCATCATTGCTTCTTAATTTCGTCTCACTTCCACTCGCTCACTCGCCACACCTCCCTCGTGGCCTCGCCCTTTGCCTCCTTGGCGGTCTTGTTGCCTCCCCTGCTGCCTAGTCTCGCCTCACCTACCCGACCTATCCTTCCGTTCCTACCCTTCCTTGCCTTTCTCCAGTTTGTTTTCATCTCCCCTTTTCCTGTCGGTTTGCATAACATCGAATTCTTCCCCTTCTTTAAACTTGCTTCCACTGCTTCTCCTCCTTGCTTCCCATTCGCTCCTCTATGCACCTCAGTTCTCTGTGCGTCGCTTCCTGCGCTTCCCTCTCTGTTCCTCTCTTCTTGCCGCTCCCTCTCAATGCCTCTCTCCCTTCCCTCCCTTCTCTTCCTGTTTGTTCCCATTTGCCCTTTCCTGAATAGAACCTAGTCTCCCCTCACTCCATTCCCCGATCATTTCCCATCGTTCCCTTTTGTACCCCTCCTTCCTTTCCTCACCTGCCTGTCTTCCTTCCCGTCCCTGCTCGCCATCCTTTCTCCCCTCCTTCCCCCCTCCTTCCCCCCTTCCTTTTCTTCCCCCATCTCCCTTCCTGCCTCCCCACCTTTCATCCTGTCTTCCCATCTCTCCTCCCTTCGTGTCCACTTCAAGCAGGACAAGTTCACGCTTAGTGGAGTTTGGCAGCATAAGGGAGCAGCAGCAGGCACAAAAAAGTGTTGAAGAGCGAACCTTGAACAGCTAGAGAAGAGGGCACCCTTGCATTTATCTTCAAATGTGTCCAGCCTATTTCACAAGTTGCATACCTCACTGTGTGACTGGTTGCATCATGTAACAATGCCTTGTCCAGATATTGAAGAGAAGCTATTGCAAGGTATTGAGATTTTGCAAGCAGTGAACATACTGAAAAAACTTATGAATATGCTATCAAATCGTTTGACTGATACGGTACACTAATGCCACACACGAGCTGGAACAACTATCTCCTTATTCGGTTCCACCAAGCTACAAAGATCACCACTAAAAATCAAAAGCGCCGGATGTCCTTTGAGTTGTGCTGTCGAGGAAAAAAACCAGAAAGGAGTGGAGAAACAGAGGATAAGCTGGAGGGGAAGGACGTGTGAGCCGGGGGGAGGGAGGAAGGCTAGCAAGGGGGAAAGGAAGGGTAAGAAGGGGGACCCTAATGAATTGCAGGGGGGGATATTAGGGTAGGGGATGCATGAGGGGAAATGAGGGGAAGCTGGGGAGGAAATGAGGGGAAGCAAGAAATGGGTGGCGGGACAGAGAGGAAGAGGGGAAGTGCAAAAGCGAGGAAGGGAGAAAGGAAGAAGATTGGACGTGGGAGGATATAGGGGGCTAGCAGGGAGGAAGCAAGGACTTAGAAGGGGGAAATTAAGGGGCTAGCAGGAGATGATATGGAAACACGGGAGGGAGGGAACGGAGGGGAAGCAAGGGCCAGAGCAGAGGCTTGGTCAGGAGGGCAGAGCGTGGGGGCTGGAGTGAGGCTACCAGGCAGGGAAGGGGCAGAGAAAGGCTGCTTTGACACTGGCGCCACGGCACCTTCGGGTGGAGGAGGCAGGTGAATGCGTGTGTGATGTGCGGTGGAGAGGATGGTGGGGGTGCGGAAAGAAGGTGGGTGGGGGAGGAGAGTGGGGGGAGCGTGAAAGATGAGGAGGGCAGAGCTGGGATGCCAGACCCAAGCCTGGTGCTGCTGCCACTGTCGCTGCTGCTGCCGCTGAAACTGCCACTGGCACTGCTGATGGTGACTGCTACTGTTGCTGATGCTGTTGCTGATGTGGCGGCTGACGCGGCTGCTGATGATGCTAGCTTCTTTGCTTCTGCCATTGTCGAGGCCGATGCATCCTTGGTGGCCGTGAGGGAGATGTGTAGAGGCACGTTCAGCTCTGCATATGAGGGGTGGGAACAAGAGAGGGCAGCAGAGCATGGGGAGAAATATGAACGTGTGCGCTCTGGGGAAAGACGGGGCGTGCAGGGGGGAAACATGGGGCGTGCAGGGGGGAAAAAAGCGGCTATCAGGCGGGAATTACTTGGATGGGAGTTTGAGGCTGGGGCACGCTGAAGGGGAAATGTGGAAGGAGGGGAGGCAGGGGAGGAAAGGAAGGAGAGCCGTGGGGGAAAAGGGGGGAAGCAGAGGGGGAAAGGAGGTGAAGCAGGGGCGGAAAGGAGGTGAAGCAGGGGGGTAAAGGAGGGGAAGCAGGAGGGGAGAGGAGGGCAAGCAAGGGAATCCAAGGAGGGGTGGTAGGGGGGGAAAGGGGGGAAGCAAGGGGTGAAAGGAGGGGAAGCCATGGAGGAATAGGGGGGAAGCAGGGGGGGAAATGAGGGGAAGCAGGTGGAGAAAGGAGGGGAAGCAGGTGGAGAAAGGTGGGGATGCAGGGGGGAAAGGGAGGAGAAGCATGGGGGAAAAGGAGGGTAAGGAGAGCGGGCAACAAGGGGAAGCAGAGGGGGAAATATGGGGAAGGAGAGAGGAGAACGAGGGAAGCAAAGGGGGAAACAAGGGGAAGGAGAGGGGGGAACGATGGGGAGCAGAGGGGGAAACGAAAGGGTAGAGAGGGGGGAACGAGGGGAAGCAGAGGGGGAAATAAGGGGAAGGAGAGAGGGGGAACGAGGGGAAGCAGAGGGGGAAATAAGGGGAAGCAGAGGGGGAAATAAGGGGAAGGAGAGGGGGGAACGGGGGGAAGCAGAGGGAAAAATAAGGGGAAGGAAAGGGGGGAACGAGGGGGAGCAGGGGCGGAAATAAGGGGACGGAGAGGGGGGAACGAGGGGGAGCAGAGGGGGAAATGAGGGGAAGGAGAGGGGGGAACGAGGGCATGGAGGGGGCCTGATAAGGCCATGTTGCATAGTTCGGGTGAAAGTTGGAAGGAGCAGAGACGGGAAGGGAAGGGAAAGGGGAAACAATATTGCTTGAGTGCCGTAGCGATGGACCGGGTGATACGAATGAGAGGGAGCGAGGGGGGAAAGTTTATGGCTGACTCACCTTATGCACCCCTGTGAGCACCGGGGGAAGTGGGGAAATGGCGTGCGAGGCTCGCGGTTAGCAGCGCGTGTGATGAGTTTAGGGACATGCGAGCAGCTGGAGACGCGTTCAGCTGGTGACGCGAGAAGCCGGCAGAACTGGGCGGGAGAAGTGGGGGAGAGCCGGCGGAAATGAGGGGGGGCAGCGGAAACGAGAGGGAGAAGAGGGAGAAGTGAAGGGGAGCAGTGGGGGAAACAGAGCAAGGGAGGAGATGAGAGGAAGAAAGGGGGCCAGTGGGGGGGAGACGGGGTGGGGATGAAATGGATAAAGGGGGGAAATGAGAGGGAGTAGTAGGGGGAAGTGTGGAGGAGCAGTAGGGGAAATATCGAGGGAGCAGGGGGAGGAATGAGAGGAGGAAGGGGGGAAAATGAGAGGGAAAGAAGGGGGAAATGAGGAGGAGTAGTGGGGGAAATGAGAGGGAGATGGGGGAGAAATGAGGAGGAGTAGTGGGGGAAATGTGAGGGAGAAGAGGGGGAAATGAGTGAAGAGGGAGGGGAAATGAGGGCTCCGGGAATGGGGGTGGACGACGGGCTCCCCGCAGTCATGGCGACACGCCCATTCAACGGTGGCCATTTGGCCTGCTCAACGAATGGGAGAGTGCGTTGCCGACAAAAAAGAGACGAATGAGTGACGAATGAGTGACGAATGAGACACGAATGAGAGACGTGTGAGACAAATGAGACGAATGAGGCGACCGCCTCGCGGAGCGCAGCATTTGAGGCGAATTAGACATTCGCCCAGAGACGCGAGCAGCAGGTGAGGCCAGCAGAGGGTGAGCGTGAAGCCAATGACGTGCTAAGCAAGGCGTCCTATGGGTTACACGAGAAGCACTCGCCTGCGCTAAAACTTGAGAGGACTTGCAGTGGGTGAGGCGCTAAGCGGTGCGTCGGTAAGCGGTGAGGCGCTAAGCGATGAGGCGCTATGCGATGGGGCGCTATGCGATGAAGCGCTATGCGATGAGGCGCTTCGCGCTGAGGCGCTACGGAGTGGGGCGCGGAACGGTGAGGCGCGCAGCGGGGTATTAGGCGAGACGCGGGTTCACGCGCTAAGAGGGTGTCGCGAGCTGCGGGTTTGGCGAGAATATCGCCGGCGAGGGCAACGCATCGAGTGCGGCGCGCGTTGCCGAAGGCTAGAAAAACATCTATCGAGATGCCTTTGCACGAGTCTAATCCCTAATCGCGCCAGCCAGCCATGTAACACGTGCCCCCTTACCACCAGCGTTTTTTTTAGTGGTAGCGCAGCTCCTCGCGCCGATTAGTCGCTATTGGTATAGTTGTTTCCTGGCCTTTCCTAGAAATTTAGTCGCTATCCTCAGTGTGTGAGTGTCACTCCAGGGGTTGGGTTGGGTGATGGGAGTCTTTCTCGTGTTCGCAACTACCATGCCTCCAAATTTTCGCCCATCCTCTCGCCAACCTCATTAGTTTTCGTTGGGGCTTGCTCTGGGTGA